ATAAAAGTGTCGATGTTTTTATTAGATGAGAAAATTCATAGATTGGCAACGTGCATCGGAATTATTATTTATATCCACGAGACGACGAGAAGGAACACTTGCAACGGAAGCTTATTGATTCGCCTTCATCCTACGCTTATCCACTACGACGTAAAAGAAAAACGTATTTAAACGTTCTTTATATTATCTCTTCCTCATCTTGTTCTTTTTTTCTTTTCTTCCATTTCGGAAAAAATTTAAATAACGCAAAAGAAAATTTAACACAAATTCTATCTCCTGGGGTTGGGGGGGCGGGGGATAATACGGATGTAAAAATAAATTTGCCTCTTTTGTTTTCTTTTATTTTTTTTTATCTACAATTAGATTATTTTCACTATAACTCGATTATTATTATCTTTTCATGGTCAAATTTTTTTCCCATGATTTAAAAAAAGAATATATATAATCAATAAATATAAATCCATCGAATACTAATTAACAATCGTTATAATAATTATGGTGACACCATTTATTTTTAACGATTATACGTGCACCATAAATTGAAGAGAAAATAAATTACGTGTAAAAAATAATATTCGTTCATAGTTACCCGATTTTAAAGCAGAAATCTCCTCTACGTCCCATAAAGGATTATATCGTCAAAAATATATTAATAATCGTCAATTATTTCGATAATATAAATTCATTAGGATACATCGTCGTCGTCATTATCGATACATCGTTATTTTTTCCTGTTTTATTAATTTTTGTTTTTGTTATCAATAATTTTTTAGTTTCATCTTTTCTTCCTGGAGATTTAATTATAGCGAGACATTGTGAGTGTTAATTAAACGGGGGCCATCGATCGATCATCGTAAAAACAGATTTGCAACATCGTTGAATTTTCTTTTTACGATTTGTATTTTCTCTCTCTCTCTCTCTCTCTCTCTCTCTCTCTCTCTCTCTTTTTATCTGATTTCGAGATTAATTTATAAGCAATAATAATTTTTACCTGTGAAATACTTCATTTCCTCTAAAAATTCGATTTATCGTATGTTACCTTGAATTTCGAGTAATAGCGTAGTAATACCAATCTATTACTATACCATCCTTCTCMMCCCCCCCCCACCCCCACTACCCCTGAAAATCTAGAATTTGTTTTAACGATATACAATATATTTGAAATGACGTTCGATTAATTACATTTCCGTCGACAATTTTTATTTATTTATTTATCGTTTATTTTTTATTTCTATTTTTTCAATCTCGGAATTTAATATATCATCATTATTTTTAATTTCCTTTACATTCGTAGAGAATTTATTTTATTTTTCTTTTTTATTTTTTTTTTTAATTTTTCGATTAATTTTTACCCATATATACACAACAAACGATTGGAACAGATTAAAATGTTATAGAAAATGAAAGAGGGGTAGAAAAAAAAAAATAAGATCTAACGATACGCGTTCATTCGATTTCGATTTCGATTTCAATTTCGATTTCGATCTTGATTTCGATTCGAACGAAATTGAAACTCGACGAAAGCTCGACGATGCAATAAAATTGCACTCGAGTTCCTTTTTATTCGCACGAGTTATGAAGAAACCTTACTGACTCTCTAAATGAGAAACCCCACCTATCCTCCTCCTCCTCCTCCTCCCCCACCCCCGCCCAGGGGAAAAAAAGAAAGTTAATAATTATACTGGTAGGTAATTAAATGAATTGTTAAAAACTATTGTTGTAATAATATATCGAACAACGATAACTGGTAAAAACTTAAATAAAATATATTAAAATAAACGCAATATATATACCAAAAAAAAGAAAAGTTACTTTTATCATCGAAGGAAAATTTAAATATGCGTATAAATTAAAATTAATCGATACAAATTTAAGATTGTTATTCATAAAAAATCGATACACGGGACCGATTGACGAATTTTTTAATCTACTCTGGTAAATGTGTGTAATACAAAAAAATAAACAAAACATTTATATATATACAATTTAGTATATAAATGTTATCGAAACTAGAAAGGGGAAATATACGTCTTATCGATTGATCAATTTGATTAGTTAATAGTGAAAAAAAAAAAAGAAAAAAAATTGTTTATATATAACCGAGCAGGTGTTTTGCTTGAATGCACAAAGAACTCTTTTAGTTGCGTTAAATCGAAAGGAACATCTCCACGGTAATCGTTTCCTCTCACATAAACACATATGCGTAAACACGGACACACACATACACGCATGCATGCATGCTACATGCACGCTTAAATCCATATCTCTGGTCTTACATGCGATTTCGAAAGTCTCGTGCTGCACGAGCAGCTTACTCACATCAAAGTAAAAATGGCAAATCGCCAATTGTTTACCTATTTTTACTCTAAGCAACGCACATATCTTTTAAATTTTCAAATTCCCATTTGTCCTTCGTCGCGTAAAAAATCTTAACTTTTACTGGTGTCAATAATTCTCCATTTCAATCTATCAGCTTTTAAAATACGTATTCTTTTTTTTTTTTATTTGTTTACTAATCGTTCACAGTCGATAAGAACGGAATCTTTAACATCTTTTATTTTTGTTTGCTTTTTTCTTTTTTTTTATTACCGACCGCGATAACGGATCATTTTCATAAACAACGGAAGAAAAGAAATTCTGTATTTAATACACACCCGATATCTTTCGTTTAATTTCGTTTAATTATCGTTAATATGTGGTAATGATTAAATGAATTATTTTTTCTTTTATTTTTTTTTTTGGCGATTTATATTTATAATACTTTTGTTTTTTCTATATCAGAATATTTTGAATCGGTATGATGGTATATTTATACGTTTTAAACTAAAAAAAGTATTAATTATTCTTACGTATTATTGCGTCTGAATCTGAATTTTGATTATAAAACATTTGCCAAGAATATTCGCATCTGGTATAGTGAAATATCACTTTTCAGTCTAGACGTACAAATATCTGGTTTATTTTTTCTTTTTTTATTTTTTTTTTTTTTAAATTTTTATTTTGTATTTTTAGACTCCTATATTCTGTGTTTACTACTGTAACGTAAAATGCTTGATACTCGTTCGAATTGATTGCCATAACGTGGGAGGATTGTAAAGTTTTGAGGATAACGAAAGAAAACTTATATTTTGTGCTTTTCTTATATTCAAAAATAAAAGTTTAACCAATAAAAACATATTGTTTTTATATTAGATTCAAAACTTTTCCATCCCACCCATAATATCCATCGAAATGAAATTTCGATAGAATTATTGAAAATCGTTAGGTAATGTATGAGTGTTGAGAAATGCGTGAATAGATTTGTGTATGCTTACGTGTGTGCGTGTACAGATGTGAAATAAACTTTTATTACAAAAAGAAATGTTACCTTTTCAGACTTCTGGTTCACAAGCTTAAGTACAATTTTTTAATACGAAGATATTCATAAGATTGTTAAATCTAATTTGATACGAGTTGAAAGATTTTGTCATTTTCACAATTTAATTTTAATAAAAAAAAACGAATACACACGCCGCACGCTTTTTGATGCCAACGCATTCTTTTCGTTTTTTTTTTTGAAATGTATATGTTACCGTCATAGCCGGAAATCTGCCATTGCCAGTAATTTCTCGGCATTCTCATCAATGCAAAGAGCCTTCCGATGAGGTTGGAAACAAAAGAATTCTTACAGTTTTTTTTAATTAAATATAAGTTTCATTAAAATATATTCAATCTAAGTATAAAAAATATTTGCCGAAACTTTTCAAAGGAATGGCAAAGTTAGAGAAATTTGCAGCATCTCATTCTTTGACATTTTATGAACCTTTGCAAATTGATTTATAACTCAAATGAGTATTCAACTTGTAGATAAAAGAGTGTACTTTAATGTAATATAAAAATCATTAAAATCTATTTACTTTTAGTATAAAAACATTTGTCAAAACTTTTGAAAGAAATTTCAAAGATGCACAATTTACAGCATTGCATTCTCTGACATTTTTTGAACGTTTACATGCTAAATTTATAACTCGATATAGTATTCTACGCGTAGACAAAAGAATGTACTTTAGTTTAATATAAAAATCATTAAAATCTATTTGCTAAAAGTATTACAAATATTTACTGAAACTTTTTAAAGAAATTGCAAAGATGCACAATTTACAGCATTGCATTCTCTGATATTTCTTTGAAAAGTTTTTGGGGGGGAGGGGTTGCAAATGGCTGTGTGTGTCTGTGCCCGAGAATGTATTCTTTTTAACGTTGTTTAAGTAGTAATTTGATTTTCTATAGAATATCAAAATATTACGTTTAATGCTTAGAAAAAACTGTAAGAATTCTTCTGTTTCCGACTTCATCGGAAGGCTCTTTGCATTAATGAGAATGCCGATGAATTACTAGCAATGGCGGATTTCCGGCTATGACGATAACATATACATTTTTTAATCTATTTTTTTTTAACGCCTTTAAAAGCTTTGAATCAACGATAAGCCTATAAATTTGTGTCATTTTTCTATGGCATCAATTTTTATATCATTTTTATATCATTATTATTATTAATAATTAATAATTAAAAATTAAAAAACGTTACATACGAGATGATTATTTTAAAGTTTCGAGCCTTAATAAAAAAAAAACCTTTTATTTTTTAAAATTATTCAATCCAAATAATGATTATAATTGTCATTAATGAATTTATAGTTATATAACGTAGAGATAAATTAAAAAAAAAAAAAAAAAGAAAACAAAAAAAGAGAAAAATGCAATGGGACCGATGCTCCGAGCAAAATCTTTTTTTCTTTTCCCTTTTCTTCGGACTCTTATTTCTGATTGTTTATTTTACTTTTTCTTCAGTTTTATTTTAATATTTTTGATTAATTTTATTTCTTCTAACGTATACTTCGTTGAGAACAATTTTGTAGCGTTCAATCATTTTTAATCTTATTATTTTTTAAGCTCCACTGCATGTAGAACTGCATGTATTCTTACTGGCCTTGTTTTTGGATTGTTTGTTTAAACATCAGGTCCAGGCGAATGTCCCAGGATATCACACATTCAAGATCTACAGAGAGTCTTATAGGGTCTTACACCAGGTATGTAACATTGTAACGAAAGCTTTTAGTCACCGACTTTTTGACACAGACGAAACGATTTTTGTTTATTTTTTTTTCTCGAACATAAACATTCAAATTCAAAAGAAAAATACATATCTATATATATATATTTTTTCAATTACACGCTCCAGTATGTTTAGTAATGTTTTTTCATTTGAGCTATAGAATTATCTTTTGTTTTTCGTAAGACAATAAAAAAAAAAACATAAATACGAATACGAGTAAATTAAAAAAAAAAAAAAGAAACCACAATTGTTTTATTATTTTAATTAATAATTATTTTAATCTCGAGAGACGAATGACCATATTGTAATTTGAAAATATAAAATTATACGTTCAGTGTTTGTATATTGATCATTTTTGTCAAATTATTGAAACGCAATTAGATTAATTAGAAATCGAATTGGAATTGAAAACAAAAAAAAACATTGCTTAACTTTGATTAATTGCCAATATAAAGAATTATGTGAAATATTAAACGTAAAATTTTAGTTTTTATTTTCGAAATATCTTTGCATTATATTTTTTTATTGTCTTTCGCATCGTTCGCATAATAACGCAGCGTATACACGCACACGCACGCACAGAGGACAAACAAACAAACAAACAGACAGACAGACAGACACATTTGCATATATAAAAACTAGCGCATGCATCTCGCTGCATTTTGAATGTGTTATATTATAATATAATAATATAACGTGTTAGAGATGTTCGCTTTTGTTTTTTAGTGACAAATTTTTAATTGAAAAAAAAAAAGAAAAACAAGATTTTTTCTTTTAAAATGTCAAATATATATAATATATTTAAAAAATCGGATGACGAATCTCGATTCGTCCTTGGAAAATTTTTCTCGACGCTTACGACGAAACGAAAATAAAATAATTGTGTGTTATTATGTATTAGAATAATAATAATAATTAAATATATTGATAAAACGATTAATTAAATTCAATTAGATTATTATTGTAATATTTTTACAGGAGTAAGAGCCGAAGCGTGGATCATGGATTCACAGCGCCCTTCGATTTGGATTCTTTGCGAAATAAGGTCGAAGGACGATTCGAATCGGTCGACAAGCTATCGAAAGGTTAGTACCGTTTTGATTTGTAATTAATATCGAGATACCATCATTTGTCAATCTTTTCAAAATCTAATTATACTTCTAAATGAAGGAAGAGAGAGAGAGACGTTACAAGGATTTTATTTTCATGTCAACCTCGTTTTCTATTCACGATTAATTTTTTGTTTTTTTTTTTTTCCAACACTAATTAAGTATCAATCAAAAATATATGTATGAATATTTGAAATACATAATCATTTGTTGGAATCATCATATTAACATTTCAATCAAAATAATTGGAAATAACAAAATTCTTATTATCCTGATTATTATTACATTTCGAATCTTGAATCGAAATATTGTTAATGGAAAATATATTTCATTTGATATTTTGTTATTTTAAATAATAGTATAAAACATAATATATATAATAATAATAATTATTATTATTATTAATAATAAAACACATTTTTTATTAAATAGCCATGTATATTAGTTATCAAAAATTACAATATATGACATGTTTTTATTTTAAATTAAATTTTATCAACAATACATACACACACACATATAAAAATAATAATAAGTAATGCAAGAAGACGGAAGCATAAGCGTAAGATTTAAAGGAAGAGAATGTAAAAAAATAAATTCGAGGTTGCCCTTGTAACAAGATATCCAGACTAGACGAAGGTCTCAAGATCGTGGCTATTTAACAGCTGTACAACCTTACAACTTCAACGAATTACATTGACTTACTTTCTTAAAGTGGCACGGACGCCATTTCCTTCTCTCTCTCTCTCTCTCTCTCTCTTTCTTTTTTTTTTCTCTTTCTTTGTTCGATCCTATAGCATCACAATAATTCCATTCTTCGATTAACAGCAGAATTGTATCGGTGATCATCTTCACCGATTCATCGTCACGCTTATTTCCATAGTATTCTTTTTATACTAACATAAATGCATCGTATAAAAATACACGTTTCTATAGTTATATAGTGCTATTACATATTGAAGATGAGGAAAGATCGTACAATTGACCTAATAAAAAGAACAAGATTTACGAAATCGTTAAAGTTTCTTCTTCGTTCTAACTTCGCTCATCAATATTATTATTTTTCATCGTTTTATCGTTTTACATGGTTTTTTTTTTCTTCTTCTTCTTTTTCTACGTTATATTGAAAAATTGTTCAAATTCGAGTAATCATAACGCGATTAATCGAACGAATGTATTTTCTTTCTTTAAACATATGAAATATTAATTTGTGACAAATATTTTATTGTTTTTTTTTTATTAATAAACATTTGAAAATTAATTATTCACATAATAATAATAATAATAATAATAATAATAATAATATATAAATAAGAGAGAGAGAGAGAGAATATAACGCTGAAATACGTTGGAAAAAATATTTACCCGATAATCAATTCTTAATGTTCTTTTTTAGTTTCTTTGTTTTTTCCTAACGAATAAAATTTGAATGAAATTATTGAAATTTGTAAAATACGATAGAAATGTAATTAGGATTTTATACCGAGACACGTTTAAAGAATTATCAAATTAAACGAACAAATTCTTTACAAATTTTTATAATATGTAATATAGTATTGAGTATATATCTATGTAGATATAAATACATACAAACACACCTAAATACCTAACATCAATGGATTGCGAAGAACGCGCTGACAAATCGTCGGAGTTCGATATGTGTTTTAGATTTATGCGATTCCAGAGAGTGAATACCGATGATGTTAAATTCAGATCAAATTGTTCGATCTTCAAGTATTAGCATATGCATTCTTGCACAGAATAATTCATAGAATAAATTTATTATTTTGAGTTGAGAAGTAAATACGAACGGAAAATAAATTATATATAATATAATTATATATTATTATATA